GCACGACGACAACCTCCTGTCAACACTCGGCCGCAACGAAACGCGATACGAGTTGTGTCCGGCAAACGGCGCCGACATTGACTGCTCCGGCGGTAAGCACTCGACGGTATGGCTGGCAGTGGTGTTGCTATGGGCGGGCAGTTTCCTGAGGGGACTGGGATTTACAGCCTATTTTGTGATCGGAATGCCTTACATCGATGATAGCGTCAGCAAAAAGAACTCGCCCATTTATATTAGCCTGATCACAGCGCTCAGGCTAATTGGACCGGCTGGTGGTTTCCTGCTGTCCTCCCTGTCCCTTCGTTTTTATGAAGATCCATTTTGTAAGCCTATTATAAATGCCCTAACTATCAGCATAAGTAATTATAATTAAACACATAATTAATATCACTCTATTAGATGATCCTGGTGTCACACGGAGAGATCCGAGATTTATTGGCGCATGGTGGATTGGGTTTACAGTGATCGGTACCCTGTTGTTTTTCGCGGCGATCCCGATGTTTTTATTTCCAAAACAATTCAAAAACGCAACGGTAAAGGCCAAGGATTTAAAAGACAATGTCAAGGGCTTTAAAGGTAATGTTAAACCTATGGTTAATTTCAAGAAAACATAACTATTATTAACCATAGATAACTTATTATTACAGGAACAGCACAGGCGGTAAAACGGTTGGCCAAAAATCCTATCCTGATGTTTCATTTGGTTGGCAGTACTATACGCTACATAGGACTGGGCGGGTATTACATATTTAAAACAAAGTACATAGAGTCTATGTACAGGCAAACTAGTTCCGGGGCGAGTTTCATCACGGGCACCACCAGCATACTGCCTATGGCTGTGGGTATTATTCTGGGCGGTGTACTAATTACATTTGTCAAGCCACGGCCTCGCACCCTGGTCATTTACATGTTCTTAGTCGAACTGTTCTCCAATGGGGGCATATTTACCGGGATGTTTATGGGCTGCCCGCCCCTCCAGTTACCACCAACCCAGTTAGTCAATAACGAGTATGTATTAACATGTTTATTCTGGTGTTTGTGGCTAATCTGGCTATTTTTACTAACAAGATACTCGATGAATGCCCAATGTAATCAGGGTTGCGACTGTACAACGAGTATATTCACCCCGATTTGCTCGGGCGCTGACAAGTCGACCACGTATTTCTCGCCCTGTTATGCGGGCTGTAAGACCATAGATAGGGTCGCTGGGGTTTGTGTGCTTTTTAGTATAATATAGTTTTTTACCAGAATTAAATCAAAGTAAAAATCATTTCTTACTTTACCTAGACATTATCTGGGTGCTCGTGTATAGGGCCTGACACGGCTGGCACCGCCACCACCGGCTACTGTCAGAGCGATTCAGACAATTGCGATAAATTATATACTTATTTACTGGTGATAACCCTCGGGTCGCTTATATCGTCAACGGCCAGGACTGGCAACTATTTATTAACGCTTAGGTATTTATTGTGTTATAGTTAAATATAACCTTGTTATAATAATTTACTAATTATAATATTTATAATTTACAGGAGTGTTGACCCGAAAGACAAGAGCTTTGCTATGGGAATGATGTCTACATTTATGGCAATATTTGGTAATAATTTTGCTATTATCAATAATTAATAATTATTATTACCTACACAATGATAATAATTTGTTTAATGAAATCTATTATAATTTATATAATAATTACTATATTTAACAAAATATTATTTTTATTTCCAATCCTAGCCTTCATTCCCTACCCATTAATATTTGGTGCGATCACAGACTCCGCTTGCATGGTATGGGAGCGCACGTGCGGTAAACGTGGTAACTGTTGGCTGTATGACACTGATAAATTTAAAAACTACCTACACGGCTCGGCATTTGCTTTCATGATGGTGGGCTCTCTATTTGATTTGGGCATTATTTTTATGTCTAAAAAGATCAAAAACTTTTACGACGAGCCCGACAAGGAGATTGATGACCTGGATAAAAATCACCAAATAGATTCAGACAAAAATGTTATAC